CAATTAAATAGAACAAATTACAAAAGATAAAAAAAAAAACGAATTTATAACCTAAACTCGATAAATAAATATTAGTTATAACAAACCAAGTTATCATGCTAAAATATTAGCATCATCCAAAAATATTTGGCAAGATTTAATAAAAAAATATATTTTTTCCAAACTCGAACCAGGAATATGAAGAAATGATGGCCATAATAGTTGGGCTTTGGCTAAATGGCTTAAGTTCCATTGTCCCGTACATTAGCCACAAGGCACTCGTTTGAGTTAAAATTAGCATTTAGGTTCGGTTCGATATCCTAAATAAAAAATGCGTCATTATATTATTGTTTTAGCATATAGCAAATAAATGCATAAATTTGACTGTTCTCTGCATTTTATATTAAAAATCGGAAAAGATATCATTCAAATAACAAACAACGTGGTCGAAAAATGTAAATTATTTTACCCTATATCCTCCTCATATATTTTGTTATTGATATATGGTACCAAAATCTTTTAAGTTTGGATCGATAGAAATGAGACAAACTTGTGGTGTATTATGGTAGATTATTTGAGCATAATGACGTGAACTTTGAGATTTGGTTATAACAATTTTATGAAAGATTTTGTGAGTTTATAATCACGTGATTTTTTAAATAAAAGCCTTAATGAATATTTTTTATCTTTCTAATTTGTTTTGATAATATTTATAATTTTATAAATTATTGTAAATTATAATATAACTAAAATAATAATTACCTTATTTACGGAGATTTTAATAATTAATGAGATAATTTTTTTGAAAGCAGTCTCTTTAATCCTATTACTCTTTTTTTTTTTTAGAGAATTTTAGTTTGTGCAATTTTAATTAATAAAATATTTTTTAAAAAAAATAAATGTAATTCGAGTTTAAAATTATATATAATAATTTATATTTTTTTAAAAAATGCAAGTTGTTCATTTCCTTAATTAATTATTTTTATTTTAATTATTTCTTATACTGTTTTAAATCTAAATAAAATATAAATATTTATTTTTAAAATCAAAAGATTTAGTATTTTTTGAATAATATTTAAGATAAAAAGTAAATATAATTTACAAGAAAGTATAGTTATCCTCCATTGACTCAAATATTGAATTTATTTTTATCCACTAAAAATCTTATAAATATTTATTTTAAAAATTTATAGGAAAAAAAATACTTATTTTGTTAATTTTTTAAATAAAAAATAAAAAAAATTATTTTTTAAATAAATAAAGCCTAAATTATGTGTTATATATAAATATAATATAAATCAATTTTTATTTATTTATTTTTTTATATTTTTTGAAATATCAAAACTGCGATTTTAGAGCAGAGTGGAGGGGAAGAAAGAGAGAGAGAGGGGGGAGAGAGAGAGAGCTAAAAAAAAGTAAAAAGGAAGCAGTGCAGAGCTGGTCCTCTCTCCTCTTCTGTCTCTCCTAGATTTGCTCTGCTGCTGCCATCTTCTTCCTCTTATCACTTTAGGTTTATCGTTTCAATTTCAAGAATTTGTTCAAAATCCCAATCTCTACTCTCTTAGCTCTCCCTCTTCTCATCTGAAACTCCTTCTCTCAAAACCCTATTTCATTCCTCCCTATGATTGGATATCCTGCTTCCATTTTCACTGATCACGGTTAAGATCAGGGTTTTTCATCCTGTTTTGTCTGCGTATACATCATTTTCTTCGGTTTTGTTTTCCTATTTTACTAAAAATGAAGGTTCGCTGGATCTGGATATACGTTGTCTTGTGTTTCACTGTGAACTTGATTATGTAGCTATGATAGTCCACGAGTACAACTTGTTTTGGATTGAGGACAACTTTGCACTTCGTCGTAAATGCATGTTTTCAGTGTCGAGTTGTGGTTTCTTGCATCAGTTGTGTGCTGTGCGTTACTGATTTTTCTTATATTTGTCGTTAAGTTTTGGCAAGCGTGGAAAATTGAACGTAGTAGTGGTTTTGATTCCAATTAGAGGTTTATTGAGGCTTGTTCGACCTCAATTCCTCAAAGATTTGTTTTGTATTTTGTGGGATTGGGGTTTAAGGGGGTCATCTCTGGAATTTCAAGCTTTCAATGCAATGAGATTTTAGGTCTGTGTGGTTAACCTGGTCAACACTTGTTTGAGTTTCACGGATGTCAGTGGAGCTCATCTCATTCAGGTAGAAAAGCAGTTCTCAAACTTTAGCTGAGCTTGTAAATATTTATTGTATTAAGTTGTTGGCAAGTAATAGCAGTTCCACCCAGTTGTATGTGTATATATGCATGTATATATGTATGTGTATATTATATCCATGCGTGTGTAATGATGTATGCTAGATTTTATTATGGGCTTCGGAAGTTTTTGGTAGTAGAAACCTAATATGGTAGGAATGAAATTTGTCTTAAAGTCCATATTATTCATCAAAGGAAAATTATAAAAGAAAATTGAATTTGTTTGCTTGCACCTGATAGATTAACGTAGAGAATCAATAGGTTTTTTGCTTATAATGTTTCTTT